GAAAGAGTACCTCATCCCCTCAGCTAGTACTGAGATCCCACATTTGCAAGGAAAGCTCTCCATAATCTCTGCTCTTGCAAAACATCTTCAGGATATTTCTGCTTGCAGGTCCGATTCCTTGAGCAACAAAATAAAGTGCTGGAAACCAAGTGGAGCCTGCTTCAGGAGCAGGGGATGAAAACAGTTAGGAACAACTTGGAGCCGCTTTTTGAGACTTACATCAACAACCTCCGGATGCAGCTGAACACTTTGCTGAGCGACAAGGGAAGGCTGGAGGGAGAGCTTGTCAACACACAGTACCTGGTTGAGGATTTCAAGAAGAAGTAAGTCTATTCAGCTAGTGATCTACTTACCTAGCGAAGTGCAGCCTTTCTCCATTCAACATCCTTAAGCCAATTGGGGGATCCAGGAGAGTCTGGGATACAGGAATTCCCGACAGTGAAGGTCGTGACATTTTCTCAAGATAAATGGTAACGGAGTAACAGATCCAAATACACGAACATTTAGGGAATAATTTAGAATATGATCAAAGACTTATTAAGTAAATTACCTACTGAGACAAAAAAAAAAAATTACACGGTAGCTCAGAGAGTTTCAGGACGACATGCTTAATTTGCTTAAGACAGGCAGAAGGAGCATGACTAATGGCCAGAAACAGGAAAAAAAGAATAGATTCTTTAAAATTTTTTTGATGTACTTGTTTTAACTAGTTTAGCCTAGGAACATGCTCATGGTCTCTTATTCAGATGCTCTGCAGGAGAAAAGAACGTTGTATGCAAAATGCTCTTAAGAAGTTCATTCCAGCAAACTAAAATCACCTCCATCTCTTACTTGCCTAAACAAATCCTCCTCCTTCCTCCCTCCATTAGGTATGAAGATGAAATCAACAGGCGTACCATCGCAGAGAATGAATTTGTGACACTCAAGAAGGTGAGAGCAAATTACAGAATACCATCTGATGACTATTTGTAGAGCTTTAATCACCTATTTATTCACAAATCCATCCATTCATATTCCAAAAGATTTTATTTTTTTTACGGTTTCTTCCCTGGACTGTTAATGAAGAGAGATGCATGTTCCTGACTTGCTAATAAGAGTTTAAAACACATTACCTAAATCTCTCGTCCTCCAGGATGTAGACGCTGCCTATATGAACAAGGTAGAACTACAAGCCAAGGTAGATGCACTGATTGAAGAAATTAATTTCCTGAGAGCCCTCTACGAAGCAGTGAGTACAACCACCTCCCGAGACATTTCAAGCCTCAGTTAAGAGCTTCCCTCCCTCCTTTCCTCTGAAAGCCTGTAATTTCTTCCCCCAGGAGATGCTAAATCCTTTACCTCTTTAGAGTTATACCAACCGTCTTAGCTGTTTAGATAACAATCTGTAGCCTTTCCCAGGTCTGCACGCTCATCTGGAACGGTGAAAGGCATCTCTCGAGCGAATTAGCTCACCTAATCCCCTGTGCACTTTGCAGGAGCTGTCTCAGATGCAGACCCAGATCTCTGACACCTCTGTCGTTCTCACTATGGACAACAACCGAAACCTGGACCTGGACAGCATCATCTCGGAGGTCAAAGCACAGTATGAGGACATCGCCAACAGAAGTCGGGCTGAAGCAGAGTCCTGGTACCAAACCAAGGTGAAGAAACTGGGGGGGCCCGTGCCGGTATCTCCATATCTTGTCTTGAACAGATAAAGACCGACGCTTCCGAGAAAACTTTCTCAAATATCGCATCTTGCACAGCGGCACTCCAGCTGCTAGTCTGGGCTCAGGGAGGGACCCATGCGTTCAGGCACCTGGGTTACTCCAAACCCGACGGATTTTACCTTGACTGGTTGTTCCTCTCTCTGTGACAGTACGAAGAGCTGCAGGCTACAGCAGGCAGGCACGGGGACGACCTCCGTAACACCAAGCAGGAGATCTCCGAGCTCAACCGCCACGTCCAGCGGCTGCGGTCTGAAATCGACAGTGTGAAGAAACAGGTAAAAAGCAGCAAACCCCACACTTTTAACCAATTTACCCCCTGCCTGGTAAGGGAGAGGAAGGAAAATGTCAGAGGCAACCTAGGCAAGTTCTGCTCAGTTTGATCCTTTTTCTCTCAAAAAGAAAACTGTCACTAAAAATGGTTAAGGTGACGGTGCTGGAATAAGACCTTGCAATCTCAGGGTAGACAAAGAACAAGTCCAGGTCTTGTATGGGGAATTTGACTGGGGGTTTCTCTTTGGTAGTGTGCAAATCTGAAAGCGGCCATTGCGGACGCTGAGGAACGCGGGGAGCTGGCCCTTAAAGATGCCAAAGCCAAACTGGCCGAGCTGGAAGATGCTCTGCAACAGGCCAAGGCTGACCTGGCCCGGCAGCTCCGCGAGTACCAGGAGCTCATGAACGTCAAGCTGGCCCTGGACATCGAGATCGCGACCTACAGGAAGCTGCTGGAGGGAGAGGAGTGCAGGTGGGTGGGAGACACAACCCTTCTAGTCCTGATGTTGGAAGGGCAAAGTAACGTGAGCACTGGAGATGCTCAGCATTTCTGAAACCCTGAGCACGGCATTAGGGGGCGGGGAGTGGGGAAGGTTGTCTTAACTAATGGAAATAACATTGCAGGGATCATCCTCAAATTATGCCAAGTTTTTATTTTTCTCCCCAAAAGTCTCTAGGAAATGTACCCTATTCCCACACCCCCCCCCCCCCCACCCCACACGACTTCTTATCCTCTTACCTTGTATTCTGTCCCCTAACAGGCTGGCTGGAGACGGCGTCCCAGTGAATATCTGTAAGTTGCCCAAAGATAAGCAACTACTTCATTTAAGCATTAGTGTGTCTCTGCACCAAGAAGCCAATGTCCAGAGAAATTGAAAGCTTTTCCTTCTCCTTCTTGCAGCCGTGACCAGGACAACTGTGGGAACGGGATACGGAGGAGGAAGCAACCTCAGCATGGGAGGGGGAATCTGTGCTATGGGGAACAGCTTCAGCTGTGGAAGCGGTCCTGGGGTTACCAGTGCCACCCTCGGAGGCAGCAGCAGCTCCAGTGTGAAATTCGTCTCAACCTCCTCCACCAGAAGAAGTTACAGAAGCTAAAAGTTTCCTTTCAGATGCCTTCACTCGCCAGAAAACACCTTAACGCTGGTCCTTTACTAAAGCATAGTTGGGGTCAACAGAACGAGGGCCAACTAAACCCTATGTCTTGTCGCACAGGGGCCTCACTTTAGGAACTCTCTCTCAGCTGTGTTGTCTAGCAAGCATCGT